ATCAGCATATGAAAATATAATTGAGTATATTATTTTTCAAAGTGTCAGAAATGGAGAACAAAACTGCTATTTTCAATGACTACTTATTTTTGTCCAGCTTTAACATCGGTATCGATATCGGTTATCGGCTACATGAGTTTTAAAATATCAGCATATCGGATATCGGCCAAAATCCCATTATCAAGCATCCCTATAAAAAAGTCTTATAAAAGTTGTGAAAAAAGCAAATCTAGTTCAACACATCATATTGGTTAATAAAGCAGACAGAGTAACTAACAAAATGCACAATAAAGGAATGGTTTTAAACAAAAACTTCCTGATCTACTATGGATTATGCATTACACACATATCAATAAAATCTTCATTGATCCAAAAAAGACAAAAACAGGAAAAAGAAAAAAACCCAAAAACATTCTTCTTTCTACATTGGAAAATGTTTCTTTATTTCTAACAATTTGCCCTTTGGTTACTGCTGCTCAGGGGTCAAAGTAGATCTAAATTCAAAGGGTCTGATATAGAAAACTTACACAGAGAACCAACATAATTGCCTTAAAAATGAATCAAGAAAATTTTAACTAAAATGTTAAAACATCCAAATAGAAAGAAACAAAAACTATGAGAGAGAGATATATTCAAAGATCTAAGTATGTTTTCATCTGGATCCAAAGCAAATATTTTATTGCTTTGGATATACTTCAGGGATTTCTTTTAGAAGAAATTAAAGAAGGTTTAGCATTGCCTCTTGTGAGCTGGATAAAATAAAATCTTGAGATTTAGGCTAAATGATTTTTTACGCTTGGCAGAGGATGATCAGCCACGTAGTTTATTAAGTAGCGAGGGCAGGAAGGGCATACTGCTGAGAGCGAACCATCAGTGTGGAGCGTGAAGCGCAGCACGCACAAAGTTGCATTTCTGCACAAGCACAGCTGGAGGAGCAGAGTTTGTCAGAGTTCAGCGTGCAGTACTGGACCATTCTGGGCCATTTTCTCCCCTGCTGCTGCCATGGTCCATCTGTCATGCAGAATGTGCACCGCTGTACGCCATGTGGGCGTGACCAAACAGGACGCAGCAGCACAGCTAATACTGCTTAGTATGTCTAACAGATTACAGCACAATAATGCATTTTAAATGACTGACAGACCACCTGTAACATCTTTATTCAGTCTCATCCTGTCAATAAAAAGTCACAGCCATGAGTCTTCATGTTTTCTTCATCAAAGATCCATGTTTAGGCTCATCAGTTCCCATTATCGTCATGAAAAACTGTTGTCATCATTGACAAAAAAAGCACTGCTGCTTGGTTTATGTTTTGTTTTGATTGCTACCAAAAATAATGTTTTCACGCTACATATTAGCAGGTTAAATGTGATTAGAAATAACAAGCAGAGATGTTGAACCAACTAAAGATCAGGGATCAACATGATCCTATCCCTCAATATTAAATAGATGCATATGCTAATTAATATTGTCCCCAATTGCTTCCTGTATAAAAGATAAAGTTGGAGCATTTCTTGTTTAATGGTCAAAATTAATACTTTTTATTTTATTCTAAGTGTTGGCATGTTTTGTTGCATTTAAACAAAAGAAGGAGATTTTAATTCAACTACAAAAAAACCAAACTATATGAAGTGCTCCTGTCCCTTTAAATATAAAAGGTCTTTAGGCAAAGTAATATAGTCTGTAGCAGTTAATGAAAGCAGACTTCCTGTTATTTCCCATTATTATCGAGGCACCCTGAGTGAGATGGAAGTGTGTCATATAGGCTTAACCTCTCGGGTGCATTTAAAGTTGGATTTAGTTCTGCTGTTTAACTTTGAGGTGATTATTGATCCCAACCCCCTGCGCCGTTCCTTAATTTAAACATTCCAACCTCAGAAAAGTTCGGAAATTAGCACTTTGCTTGACCGCATCAGGAGTTTATTAGAATTAATGGAACTTGATAATATTAATTAACCCTGTAAAACTAATTTTAAAAGCAAATATGTAATAATATTTGCATTAAATCAACTAAGACATAACTTGGTTAGTAAATTCAACCTGTCATTATTTAGAGTGTGCAGAAGAATGACTTACTGCATGAAGAAAATTGTTAAAAATTTAAAGTTTTTAATACCTTAAAACTTTAATTAAACCTTGCATCTAGAGCTGTATTTCTATCTTATTATCACTTTACTTGGATTTATCACTTTTATCACTTTACTTGGATTTATCACTTTTATCACTTTACTTGGATTTATCACTTTTATCACTTTACTTGGATT